CACCCAAGACAACTGGCCTATTTTAAATGATCAGATTTTTACAAAATGTGGCTTTAATTGTTTTTGTTACTCTTATCCCCCTTAGGAAAAATGCTGTGCAATGTAAATACAAAACAGACACACATAGATACACTTTGAGGCAAAAAATTACACATACCAGTCATTTCCTAAAAAAGAGAAAGCGTATAACTACTTCATACCTTTAATGATACATGCGGTCACCTATGGCACCTCATTTCTCTTTCTGTCTGGCCTTGTTTTGGCTTGCACCATGCATACCCATCTATTCATCCTCTTCTCTTGGAGAAGCAGGGAAAGCAAGCCATTTACCTGGTTGCTGTCTTCCCTAACTTGTCTGTTAGACTTAAGTTTCAGCCCCCATCCAAATTCATGCAGTGAGAAAGCCTGGAGCAACAACTCGTCAGTTACCCCAGAAGAAAACTTTTCTGCTCTGTGGCCCTCCCATTTTTCGTCTCCATCCAACAGATAAGCCGTGGCTGCCCACACATACTTGAAAATGGCCTGCGAGTGACTATATAGCTTCCTATAGTGACACCAGAATTTTATGGCTATTAATCATATTTTTATGTAAATTAGGGCAAAAAAAACCCCATCCTGGAGGTAATTTGGGAGATAGAGAGAATAAGGATCTGTAGGGTTATTTTTTATTTTGTACGGCTTCCCTCCGCTGGGTGTAACGCAGATGGAAAGCCGTGATGCAGCTACTGAGCTGTGGAGCAGTGTGCCCACTCAGATGGGCCCTGATTTGAAAGACTTGAAAGACGCACCCATCAGGCTCCCCAGAGCCGGCCCTGAAGTTCTTACGCCGGCTTCACACAAGCACAGAAGGTGAAGCATACATCGCTTAGTAACTCGTGTGATTGGTTCTGGGCTGAATCTACCCCCGAGGCTGTCTCTGGTCTGTGCACCCACAGGAGACTGTTCTTCCTCTTAAGGATCAAATGATACAGTTTGCCAGAACCAGGCAACAAGGGAGGAAGGAACAGTGGCCTCCACTAGTCGCAGATTTTGTATTTCAGAAGTTGGAGCAAGCCACTCAAAGTTGAATTCGTTTTTCTGCACTTCCAAAATCTTTTAAATCTTAACAATAAAATCATTTGATACTTGGTACCCCTGAACATATGTGAAATTTTTACTTTGGTGTCAAAGAGAAAAAAATTTAAATGAAGTCATTTCAGACGAGGCCAGGATAGGACAAGGAGAGGATCCTAGGGCTTGGGGTCCCTGGGGTCCTACTGAAGCAAGAAAGTTGGCCGAGGGAACAAAGCCCCAGGCTCAACCTCAGCCCTCCCCTTCTAAGTCGGAACACTGGGCATGACTGGTAGCTAGATACCTGTCCCCTGCCCATTCCCACCCTCCCAATGCCCTGGGGTGAGAAACGGTTGAGACAAACAAAACTACTGTCAGCCAGAGCTGGCAGCCTTGCTGACCTACACTGCAGTTCTGAAGCCTCTCTGCCCCCCAGACCTCCATGCCGCCACGCAGAGAGGAAGGACTGAGACGAGATGTGCTGACAACTATAGCCCCTCACCCCCAAAGTTGGAGACCCCCACGAACCACCCTGTTTCCTCCCCTTGCCCATAGTCGATAAACACTTCCACCCAGACACCTTCAGTGTGACTAGTTGTCTAAGTTTGCCCACACTTCCTTCTTAAGTGTGTAATGGCACTTTAATAAATCAGCTTTGCTAAACCTCTCTGTCTTGCTCTGAAATTGTTTCCTGCACAGTGAAAAGAACCTGGACACAGCCAGTGGGTTAAGGCCCCCTTGGCCTCCCCGTGAGCCCTCTGGCATTACTATGACTGTCTCACATGCTGAACATTTCCATCTCTCATATATTCTCTTGTCCTTTTACCTTACAATAGACCAGACTCTCTAAACAGAAAGTGGTGGGGCCCTTTCAGGGCTGCTCCCTCTCTATGGCTGTCTCCTCCTCCCTAGGTGTCCACGGCCCCATACTCAACTTCTGCCCCCATGCCCACCAGGCAATGCACTTCAGTAATTCCGTTTCCATTTGCAAAGAGGTTAGGTAGAAATACACATACCTATATATCTTGCCTGTTGGTTTTGGTCCTTAGGGATATGGCTCCACAAGATTTTTAGAGAGTTGAATGCGTTCACTCAAATTAAATAGTTAATAGCTGTTTAGACTACTCTACTTATTCTCGGAACATCTGAGCTTTAGCATTCTTTAAAGTTAAAAGAAGGACTTTCTGAAGGTGATATCCAGGCATTAGAAACAAATTACAAGGGGCGTTATTCTTGAGAAAAGGAGCTTGACTGACAATTATAGGTAATTATATGAGGCTTATTCTAAATGAAATAGAATAAAGGAGTAGAAGAATATCAGCTGGAAGGGAGTTAAAGACATTATTTTTAAGAGAAAAAGGCCAGGGAAATGAAATGACTTGACAATCTGCAACAGGAACAGTCTGTGTCCGCCGTAATTCTTCCTGCCCTTCTCTCTCGATTAGCTGGGCATGTGGCCACCCAAAGACAGACTACACGTTCCAGCCTCCCTTACAGCTAGGTACGGTCATGTGCAGCTTTGTTCTATTTAGTCCACGGGATATAAACTGTCAATTGTGTTTGTCTGGAAAAGTCTTCCCCCTTACACCTTCCTGCTGGCCGAAATATTGACCTGAGAGGGAAAGATGAGGAGCCATCTTGGGTCATCAGATAGAAGCTATGTGCTCTCTGGTGTGCTCAAGGGTGACGGAGCAACCAAGGAGAAAAGCCCTGAGTTTCTGCAACATGAAGTTCTAGACCGACTGCCTTCCAGGCTTCTTCATGTGCAAGAGAAATAGACGTGCCTCTTTGTTCAAGCCACTGTTGTTCTGAATATTGGTGTTACTCTCAGACGCACCTAATCTAAGCTGCTTCCAGTAGTCTGGGAAGGTTTTAACTGAGTAGCCTGGCTTGACGGAGGACTGCAGGATGGGTGATGGAGAAGGCCTGATTCTAAGTTTAAGAGAGAAAAATGCTTTAAATACTTTATGTCGAGGGATCTCAAATACTGACCCACAAACAACTGCCCTGGCAGAGCGCCCTCTAAACCCAGAGTCCCGGGCCCTGTTCCTGGAGATTGCTTCAGTGGGTGTTCCATGGTGCCCGAGAACTTACACAATTAAAAAAATTTCTCACGGAATTCTAATATCCAGACACATTTGGAACTGTTTGCTCTAGAATTGTTCTCTACTGGGGAGCTGAATCGGAACCACCAAAAAATGTTTTTTCTCTGTCAAACATAAAAGCATCCACGGGCACGTGAGAATCAGAGATTGGGGCAGGGGGAGAGACAAAGACAGAGACAGAGACAAACAAGAGTATTTTAATATTCTGAATTCTGAAATAAGTGATTTTTAATGTTATTTGGATGCCCTCTTCTTTCTGCTCCCATCTCGTGGAGTCACACAAATGTCACCTCCTTGACCATATCCTCTCTTAGATTTGCTTTAGTTTAGAAAAACCTACAGTGACATAATGGTGATATGGCTAGTGTTTGGGATTTTCTTTTTAGTAGATTAGAGTTTCCGTGGGAAGTTTTGTCATTTCCAGTGTGCATTACTCCACTTTAATGAATCATGAATGTATTTGTGACAAAAAGAGCACCATTAAAGTACAGGAAAAGGACCCTTTTAAAAGATCCCAGGGCCTCCCACATCTGAGGTTGAAATCTTTGGTCCGTGAAAAATCTGTATGGTCAGCAAATTCAAACAGCTGTCAGCTGAAGTTGGCCTAAAAGAACTTGGGCACATCAGCAGGTTCTCCTGGCAACAAAGGTGGCGACGGCACGGGAAAGTGTTACCAGAAGGCAGATTGTGGCAGGCTCGAGACATTCCCCACAGCAATGAGTAGAAAGGGATTAGACTAAGCGGCACGTCCCTACCAAAGTCATCCTTTCACAAGATCCACCCTCATGCAGACAGGTGCAGGCTGCTTGGGAGCTCCGCTCTCCCACCTTCTCTGGAGAAGCTAGAGCAGAAAGCCCTCCACTGGGAGGGAGGCTCGCATTCACCGGGCTCTCTGCAAATCTCAGCAGAACCCAAGATCCATTTGAACACAACATGAGAAGAGTGTCAAGAATACCAAAGACCTAATTTCCAGCCGAGTCACCACCTGACCGGGTCTGAGTCTGGGTAAGTCACTTAACTATTCCAGTTTTAATTTTCTCCTGTGCAGAGTCAAGGGGTTGAACTTGATGGCCTATGAAATCTCTTTTAAGAATTGTACAATTTTACATTTACCTTATAGGGATCTATAATATATGTCAGTGGGTAAAAAGTAAAAGCTTCCTTCTATCAATTATATCTTTGCCTTTATTTTTAAAAGATAAAAATCCTAAATCCCAATATAAAATCATCAGACAGACAGGCATGTGTGTGTACACATGCATGCACACAACCTTTGGAACCTGAACTTCTGGAAATTTTTCCTTAGTCGCCTAATCCCCACGAGCTCTGATGGCATCCTGCTGGGCCTGCTAAAAGACCCCATTAAGCAAATATTTAGGCTAGGACTTTTAAACATCCACGAACGTTTACTTCACTCTCCTGAGTAACATGATATAGAGGGCTCAAAACATGCTTCGTACACACCCTTATTGACAGGATGGCTACGGGCTCTCATGAATAACATGTATCTGTCAGTGCTTATAGATGGCCTCCCGGGTTAGGCAGAACCAAGACCAAAAATGAGATGAAACTCTTTTATTGGTTGTTGTTATTAAAATGTGTTCTTGAATCTGTAATAGAGACATTTTAACCTTTTCTTTTTCTCAGGTGTTACTCTGGCAATGGTATCTTCACTTCCTGAACCTTCCATGTAGCCCTGCTATAATGTGTTCCTGATCCAGAGGCCACAGTCCAAGCAAAAGATTTGAAAAGGAAATGGGAACTCTCAGAGGTCCCAGGAAGAATATGTACAGGTCATACAGCTTCAATGGAGGGGAAAGGAGAGAGAAAAAAAGCCAGACTTACTTCATCCACATGCCCAACAGCTCCATAGATTCTTGCCATCTGTCCAATGAGGTAGGGGAATCGCTCACCAGTCTCTCTCAGCATGGGAAGAAAACTGTTCAAAGCCACTGGTTCGTAGCCTGCTATCTCTGTGAGGATGTTTAGGATGAAATCATTATGGGTCGAGTCCTTCAAATGCCCGATTAAGAAAGGAATACACTTCTGAACCACCTACAGAGAAAGAGGGGTGGGGGAGAGAAACAAGGAGGAAAATTAACTGAATCAGGATCAATCTGATATATTTTTATATTAAATCTGCATTCAACACATTCTGAGATGATTACACTTGTTGGAACTGAAGCAAATCTCGCAAATCCGGAATTTTAAATTTACAATAAAAATTAGAGGCTTCAGTTTCTTTTTCTCTTAATCTGTGCTTTGCTGATGAGGAGAAGTTTCTGAAGTGCTTCGATGCTGTTCTTCATAAATCAAGTTTTGATGTCAGGTCCTCAGAAGTATTATATTTCCTTCCAACCATCATGAAAGCGCCAATTTAAAGGACAAAGTATGTAAGAGATCTTTGATGACTTTAATCAAAGCCTTCAAATTGGATTAATATGGTTTAGAAACACTTGATAATAAAAATCAGAAGACAGCCTTTATGTTTTCTTTGGTTTTTCATTTTCATCACAAAAATATAATGAGATAAAAAATTATTAAAGTAAAATAATTTATACTATACTCCCAATACCTTAATATTTCTTTCTGCATTTTAATGGTTTTATGAATAGAAAGATGCAATCATTCATATTAAGGGAAATGTGAATTTTTTGTGGGATAATCTCTATGTTAATACACAGACATGTTGCCTACTGATAATTTAATAAATTGTTCTGTCTGCCTAAAATAAAAGAATTAGAAGAGACAACTTGTGAAAGAGTAAACAATATAAGCAAAAACTATTTTTCCATCCATACTTCTACTATACTTATTTCTTGTGTTTGTTGTTGATTTGCTTTTTTAGTTTGTTACTTTTCTGGTAAAATAAACTTGAAATGTAGCTTCCAGTATTAACACTGAGTCTGATGCACAGCTCAGCCTGCTGAGCTCACCGTCCACCCCCTGCTTCCCCAGACCTGCTTTCCCCACCTGTCTAGGCACAAGTGTCTCCTCTCTCTGTAAGTAACACCATTATCTGCTTGGAAACTCAAGCCAGAAATCTGGGACTCATTCTTGATGACTGACTGTTTTTCCCTCATCAGCAACCTTGAGTCCTTTTGACTCCACTTCCCAAGTATCCCACAGATCTGTCCACTTGCTTCATTTGCAATTATCCATCCATTCATGCATTCACAAATGTTTACTGTAAAGTCCTTCTTATTTGCAAGGTACAAATAGTCTAGGTGCTAGAGTTATAGTTGCTCCTGCCTTCATGAAATAATTCACTATCTAGTAAAGGAGACATTTAGTAAAACAAAAAATTATAACAGAAATGCATATAAAATTTATTAATAAATTTCACGCAGAGAAAATACAGGGTGCTGTGAAACTGTTCCAGTGTCCCAGTTTAGGCTAGGGGTCATGGAAATTTAAGCTGAGAGCACTGATCGAATCACTCTGCATGTGGCTTATTCCAACAGCTTCCTAACTATTGTCCCACCTACAGTCTTATCTACCCAATCCCTTCTCCACATGTGGCCACAGTGGTGACCCTTTCCTGCTACAATACTTCACTAATTTGCCATTGCTCTCAAGAAAGAGGCTTAGCATACCTTTTCTGAAGTGACTCTTATTCATCTTTCTAGGCTTATCTCCTCACCCACATGTTCTACTCTCTCCCCATTTGGGACTCGCTGCATATCACACACTTCATTCATGTTTAACTTTGTAAAGTTTTATTTATTTATTTATTTATTTATTTATTTTTAGAGAGAGGGGAAGGGAGGGAGAAAGAGAGGGTGGGAAACATTGATTTGAGAGAAACCTCAATCAGTTGCCTTTTGAGCACGCTCGGACAGGGGACCAAACCCACAACCCAGCCACGTGCCCTGACCGTGAAACTTGCGGGATGATGAACAACCAACTGAGCCACACTGGTCAGGGCTAAGTTTCCTTGACCTGCTAAGTGGTTCCTTGCATCTGTGATTTTACTCATGTGATTCACTTTGCCTACGATTCTTAATACTCCAATTTTGCTGGATAACCCCTAGTCATTCTGGAGGCCTCAGATTAACCGTTATTTCCTTATAAAGCCTTTCCTTCTCTCAGCCAAGTGCTCCTGCTGAAGCTCCCGTCATACCCTAAATGACTCTGAGCAGGTCCTTTCCATGATTTCTTCTTATTGCTTGTCTAGATGTCTGCCTTTCAGGATGTATTGAAAGCTCTACACAGTCAAGAATCATTTGTATTTTGTACACTGTTGTATACTCAATGCCTAGCACAGAGCCTGGCCAGAAGGTGAGTCAATAAATATTCGAGGAACACATCACATAAAGGCAAATGATTTAACCTTTGGATACTTCTTCATATGCGTGAATAGTTGTACCTAGTGTTTAAATGTATATACGTCATGTGCCATATACAGCATAACGAACTGAAGCATAAGTAAAATTATCCCACATGTAAATTTAAAATTTATATTCATATCTAGTACTTGTGGAAGAAAGGACTGGGCTAGTTTTAAACAGAACAGATGAATGAACAGTTCAATAAATGCTGTTTGTGCTTTGGGAGCAACTGTATGTGCTTAGGAGAGACCATGAGAAACCCCTGGCACATACAGCAGCAGCATCAGCCAGCCACTCCGGGTCAGGGCAGCACACTTAACCCAAGGCTTTTAGGAATGGAAACTGCTTACACATTTCCTGCCTCATCCTATAACATTCCATTTCCCAGTCCTCACTCTTCATGTCCTATTCCTGGCACACCAAGGTCCCTGTGACATGTGCTTCCAGCCATGCCAATTTCATTGAAATTCCACTCATACACCCCAAGTCATGCAAGAGTATATTATGTCTGTTGCCTCATAAAGAAAAAGAAGAAAAGAAAAAAAGAACAAGAGAAAAAAGGGAGAGAGGAAGAAAAAAGAAGGTTCAAGGCAAATATATATGCCTGACCAGAGTTGAATGCATGAAAGAAGCAAAGAGAAGAGATGCCCAAACAATGTAAACAAAGTGATATCAATTTTACCAATCAGACAAAAGTTGATTACTTGCTATCGTTTCCTGATAATTCAAAGTTTATTACAATGGTGACAGAAAAGATGGGTGTATCTTAAAGTTTATCATACATGTGGTAGAGAAGTGGTGCTTTGGGCTTTAGAGAGATTATTCTTGGATAAGGAAGAATTTTATTTTCCAAACACAGGGCATTTCTTTAGTCTGGTCTCTTCAGTGCTCTCCTCCAGGATCTGCCTCGTGTCTCGGGAAAAGCCTGGCCTTTGCTGAGAGCAGAGGGGCCCTTCAGACAGTACGGATGCCTGGCAGAGGGCAAGCTGGCACGGCCTTTGTTCAGACCATAAGCCCCATTCCTTGGGCCACTGAAAAAGCTCTCAAACTGGCCTCCTAGCCTAAAGTATCTCTGCTTCCTGTTCAGTCTCCTCACTGCCATCACAGTCATTGTCCTAACTGCCTACCCCCACCCCCCACATCATGTCAATACTTCAAAGGTCTCCTGCAGCCAATGGCCGGAGTCCCAGTACCACAACATTCTAGGGTCTTCACTGATGGGCAGATCTGCTGTCTTTCCCCCCATGGACACTCTGACTCAGCAACAGGCCACCACTCACCCACAGTGGCTGGAACACAAAAAGAATCTCATACTTTCAAAGTCCATGTCAAATAGCTGTACTTTTGGGAAACCTTTCCTCTAGCAGGACCTAGGGCTAGAGTACACATGGAGGCCCGAAAACCACACACTTAAATGTTCAGCAGCTTTTAAAAAAATGTTTTATCCCTCTACCTGAGATATATATCCTTATAGCAATTTTTGGCCTCCATAGAAGGAACAGGAAGAAATGACACCTAGCTCCCACACCTTTCTGTTCCCTTCTCTCCCTACCCCTCCCTGGCTTTGCCCTGCAAGGAGTCTCCTATGCGTGTATGTGGACACTGCAGCCCACATATGATGAGCTCACAGCTCATCTAGGCCACCCCTCAGGCCTGTGGGGTCACACTGTGGGCATGGCCTGTCCTTGAGAAAACAGACCCAGGTGACAGGCTTGTACAAGCCCGGAAGCAGGATGGAGATGTGTATGACAGGGATCCTGAGTTACTCGGACAGTGTTTAGTAGGTGGGGGAGTAGATGGGAACTTGGAACAGGTTCAGATCAGAACCCTCTAGAGCAAGTAGCCTAGGGAAGGGTCCTATCCCTGGCTTCTCTGGTTCTTCCTGAGCAGAATTGATTACCGCCTTTTTTTCCTTCCATAGCGGTGTGCAGGCAAGTTCAGTACCTTGTCACCGAACTGAAGACCTGTAGACACATCTCATCACCCCAGGCTATGGGCACCTTGTGGGGAGAGCCACCTGGAAACGTAGCACCATAAGTGTTTCTCCCTACAAATGGACTTTGAGGATTCTCTGGAGCTTCCAGCCACGAATCAGTAGCCAGGAACTGCCTATCTTCACCGAGAAAGGATGGTTTCCTGAGAGAGGGATTCCCAGAGGGCAGCGATGATGGAAGGGGACCCACCTGCCCCACCAGCTACATGAAAGTCCACAGGCCTATGGTTGATGATGAAGCTATGCTATGCTTGCAATCTCATGGTCTACTCAGCCGTACATAGAGAAGATGTTTCTTTCAAGGGCCAGCTCTTGACCCTCCAGCCCATGGAAGCCAGGTTATCACCAGTCACAGAAGGTGGGTAGTGAGGGCGGCATTCAAGACAGCGTGAAACTGTCCTGCACATTGCCCTCATTGGACAACCCAAGCACTTTACCTCCAAGTTACAGAGCACTGGTGCCACTTGTATGCAGAAAGAAAACCTCCACTTTAATCCAAATCTCACAAGGTTAAAAACCTCTTCATTTAGCTTCTTGTTTTATCTGAAATTAAACGAACCATACTGTCATCAAAAGCCTAGTCCTCATTTCTGGTTGTTGCCATGAATTTCACTCTCCTCTCTCAGTAAACCCTTTCGCTGTATTCCTCCCATTCCCTTTGCCTGCTGTCTAAGGAACAATATAAAAGAGAGGAGATGAATCGGGCACTCCCTAGCTCACTGCCAGTGCATCTCAGGAGTTGAGGGTGAGCCCATGCAGAGCTGATGGCTGAAGGAGGCAAGCAGGGGCTGCTTTAACACAAAGGGGAGCATTGATGGGAAACAAAGGGTTGGACGGTTCTCCTGCCATAACTTCTTCCCACCAGTTAGGATCCTGGCATGTCGGGTGTCCGTTAACATCACTGTGACTGCTTCCTCAACCCTTGCTTCTTCATTCTGGCATCCACACTCCACACCCACAGTTCCTGCAGGAATCCGTATTCACTCTCCTCTTTGTTCAGTGCAGTTCTCTTCCTCTTGTCTACCTCACCTTTCTTACTACCATCTTCTGCTGTGGCCCTGGAACCACCATTTGCTTTACCAGTCACAGCCTTGCAGCCTCATTTTTTTTTTTAGTGTTCTGAGGTCAAAAGATCTCATTGGTCAGATTTAGACTGGGTTTACGATGTAGTTTGGGCTGACCTGCAGGGCTTTGGAAAAGTTATCTAGCCAGGGTCAGCCTGCAGAAAAAAGAAGCCAAAGCCAGGAGTCAAATCTGAGAAATAGGAAATAGAGAAACTGTTCTGTTCAACATTATTTGAGCTTCTGGATCAAGTCTCATCTGAAGGTTTTTTTCCCATCACAATAGTTAATAAATTCCTTTTATTGATTATACCACTGTGGGTTGGGTGTTCTGTTACTGATAATCACAAGCATCCTAATTACCATATTTTGCCCTGTACAATGCACATTTTTTGCCCAAATCTTTGAGGGAAGAATAAGGATGCACATTATACACGGGTATAATGATTACACACCCTGGGTATAAGAACCCCGTGTACAATGCGCAGAAGAACGTGGGTGTGCACTACTCCTGGCAAATATTGTATTACAGTCTTTTAGTTGAATCCAAAGAATGACAACTACGTAATTTGCTAGTTAGAAAATGAGCCTTTGCTCTCAATGCAGGCTGATTTCCTCATGCATCAAGGCAGGCAAAGGTCTTCTCCTCGGCTCTGCCTGAGACACCAGAGATTCCTAGGACTGCACGGCCACACTCAACCTGAATAAAGCTGTCCTGAAGCGGCTACAGATTTGCCCATTTGTTGTGTTTTATTACTATACCTGTGATAGTACTTTTGTGTGTCAAATTCATTAGGTCAATGGGTGCCCAGATATTTGGCTATGCATTATTCTGGGTGTCTCTGAGAGTGTTTCCAGATGAGGCTGGTGTTTAAATCAGTAGAATGAGTAAAGCAGATTGCCCTCCCCAGGGTGGTGGGCCTCGCCCTGTCCGTCAGGGGCCTGAATATGACGTTTTGAGCAAGGACATAGGTCCTCTTCTATTCTCAGACTGGAACTTAGACCACCATGCCTCAGGTTCTCAGGTTTTTGTACTTGCACAAGAACTCACACCATTAGTTCTCTTGTTTTTAAGGTCTTCAGACTCAGACTTGAATGACATCCATCACTTGCTCTCCTGGGTCCTCAGCCTGAAGAGGGCAGATTGTGGGACTTCTCAGCCTCCATAATCACATAAGCCAATTCCTCATAATAAATCAGAAAGGCACACATGCACACACAAATCATATTGGTTTTGTTTCTCCGGAGAAGCCCAAGACAGTACACAACTTTTGCCATCACCTCCTGACTTTTATGATTCTAGAAAAAGTGGATGAGCACTTTCATTTAAAGATGGGTGTGAACAGACACATGAGAGAAGTAACCTGAAGTGCACACCCTGTTCACTTAGCCAAAGACATGCCTGGCTGTGTGGACCATCAAGTACATGATGTACTCTTTACCTCTGGTTGCTTTCTCTTTGCAGCTACGTGCAAAAGCCGTAGGAGATGGTATTGTTCTGGTTGTTCCAGCTGAGACATCAAGGCCAGGAGTTCTGTCAGGTGTCTGTTAATTGGATGAGGCTGTTTTTCATACACAGCAGGTAACACCCTCAACAACATGGCATTACCTGTCGAGAAAACAATAAAGAGAATGATGACTTTATCAGTCGATGAGCGCTAGAAATAACATTACTGTCAGTGCAATAACCTTTGCACTTACTAAATAGCATGAGCCGATGTCCAAGTCTTCGGCTGAGGTAACATTGTACAATGTTATCCGATGTTATACTTATTCCGAAAAATCATGAAAGCACAGTAAAATGATTCCATAAAAGGGGATATTTTATGAAATGACCAGTATTATTATCTAATGAAAACTTATCCTGAGTAATGCACCATGGGGAGAGAAGAAACTCTGACAGTAATCAGACCACACCCTTGAGAAGGAAACAGCTCCGAAGAATCGTCGATGAGAACATTTGGATGCCGTTTAAGTACAAACTAAGCAGTGTCATAAGTACGAACCTAAATGAAACTGAACAACAGAAAGTAAAGTGCAGAGGAATATATTCACATTCCTGAGAAATACCAGGCACATGATTTAGACAACAGACATATGGAAACTATGCCTTATTTTTATGAAGAGTTAGGAAAGTAGCAATGCAAATGTAAATCCCCAATTTCTGCACTATTTCAAAGGAAGTTTAGAATCGGCTTCTTTGTCACATGTGATTTGCCTCAAAGACATGTATGAACAACTGGATTTAAAATGGCAAAATCTCAAGAATAAATATCACATAAACTAGAGGGATTTATCTGCAAACAACATATGGCAAACATCTGCCTATCACTTTATGGTATGGATTTTTTTCTCAGAATCCTCTCAAGTGCTGAACTGTCTCAGGAGAACTGGTTCCTATGGATTTCTTGAACAAGAATTTTCTTGCCTGTATTTACTTTACATTTGGCTCTGTATATAGAAAATATACACAGAAAGAATCCCATAAACCATGATTACACATTTGTAGACCTTTATTAAATGGTGGGGACAAGCCCGTATATAAAGGACATTTAGACTTGAGAATAGAGAAAGGAAGGTCAGTATTTTCAGAATGTCAATGACTAAATTTAATGACAGGCTGATTCTGGATCAAACTGAATATGTTTGAGTTATAATAAATCATGAGAATTTTTTTTTCACATGTGGTTCATAGAATTAGTCTCAAACAGATTTTCTCAGATATCCACAGAGTACAAGGTGTTGGAAATATTCAGGGTTTTCTTTTAAAGAAAATGTTATGTCCAATACCATATGATCTCACCTTTAACAGGAACCTAATCAACAAAACAAAGAAACAAGCAAAATATAACCAAAGACACTGAAATAGAGAACAGACTGACAGTGACCAGAGGGGAGAGAAAAGGGAATTTCAGGGGACATTGGGAAGGGTTCATGGGAACAAACTTAAAGGACACATGGACAAAAACTAGGGTGAGGGTGGTAATGGGAAGGCAGTGGGGAGGGTTGGGTGGGTGGGCTGGATTGGGAGTAAAAGGGAGAAAACTATATTTGAACAATGATTAAAAAATGTTATGTCCATTGGAAAATATAGTTTTATTTTGTTTATTTTTACCAAGAGCCTTTCCTTAAAAGATCAGGAATTTTGAATGTGTACAGGGCACATTGCATCATAGAGTTTAGTTACGTAGAAGAACTGACAAGGGCCTGACAAGCTTGGACAAGGGCCATGATGAACGGGACTGTCGTTGGACTCGGAGACAGGAAGCCGGAGAGAGGGTTTTCAGTGCAACACTCCCCACACGCCCTGGGGGCCTCAAAGGGGAAACCCCCAGATGAGTCAATTTTCAGCTGACTTGAATTTCGATCAAATAATACAAAAATAAACGCTTAAGAACTTTTTTGAGCTAGAAACTGATGAAGATGCTTTGTAGGAATGCATAAGAAATTTTTTTGAGTTTGAAACTGATGTAGAAATTCTATAAATTCTATGAATGAATTAGTATATTCTTTTTAATTATGAAATATTCCCACCATTAGACGAGTGCAGACAATAATATAGGAAACACCAGTTCATCTAAAACCAGCTTTGTCACAACTTGACCTTAGGCCGTGATTGCTTCCTATCCCGTTCATTTCTTTTTCTCCCAGAGGCAACCCCCACCCTGACGTCGGTATTTACTCATCTTCATGAATGTTTTTACACTTCAGTTGCATGTGTATGTAACAATAAGCATTTTGTAGTATGACTTTGCAATGCTTTAAATTTTATATCAATAGTGTCATATTGAACATATTTCTTTGCAATATGTTTTCTCCCCACTCAACATTATTTTGAAGTTTTATCTCCAAGAAGCTCTCCATTTATTCTTACAGCTGTATAGTATTCCATTGTATAAATATGCAAGAGCTTATTTATATACTCTATGGTTGAAAGATATATTATAATTATTAGTTGCTTTTACGAATAGTGCTGTGATTTTTATACTTATTTCTTTGTATATAAATGGAAGATATTCTCCAGAGCACTGTTTCTGAGCACATTGTACTTAGAAATTACTCGGGCAACTTATTAAAACCCAGATACTATCTCAGCAGGTTGAGGTTAGGGCTGGAGAATCTGATTTTTTACTAATTTCTAAGATGATGCTGATGGTCCTTAGACCACACAGTTAAGTAGTAAAGCAGTGGCTATGTCCTTGGGAATTAAGTTTCTAGATCTTCTAAAATTTCTTTGCAAAGTGGTTGTAGTAGTTTTCTATTGCTACCATAAGTAATTACAAAAAACTCAGTAGTCCAAAATAACACAAATTTATTATTATGTATTCCTATAATGCGGATGGAAGGCTGGTGTGAGTTTCACTGGGCTAAAATTCGGATGTTGGAAGGGCTGGGCTCATTCCTGGAGGCGGTAGGAGAGAGTCTGTTTCCATGGATTTTCCAGCTTCTGCAGCCCACCAGCAAGCAGTCTTTGGCGTGGAGTCCCCTTTCTGCATCTTCAAAGGCATCAGCACAGCATCTCTCTGACCCTGCTTCCCTTATCACACTCCTTTCTCTGATTCTCTCTGCTGCTTCCCTCTTCCCCTTTGAAGCACCCTTGTGATTACACTGAGCCTATCTGGATAACCTAGGACTTTCTCCCTATGTTATATGACAACCTTAGTTCCACCTTCAGTGCAGTAAAACATACCGTGTTCACTGGCCCTAAGGACTAAGATGTGGGCATCTCTTCAGAGACATTATTCTACCTGCCACCATGACTGTAACAATTTACCAACATGTTTGTGTTGCTCCGCATCCTTGCCAACATTTGGTCTTGACTGACATTGTTTTTTTCCACTCTGAAGGGGTGTAAGATGATATCTTATTTTTTGTTTTAATTTTTATTTCCTTAATTACTTGTGAAGCTGAACACCCCTCTTTACACATTTACAGATCATTTTCTCTCCCGTGATTTGGCCATTCATACCCTTTGCCTATTTTCGATGGGGATGTTTGTGCTTTCTTACTGATTTGTAGAAGTTCCTTATTTCATCTAGACACCAATTTTTTGTTTATTAGTTTAAAGTTGCAATCTTAATCTAGTTGATTTTTTAAATTTCTTTACTTTATGGTTTATTTTTGTTGTTATTAAGAAATCTTTCTTTACCTTAAATTCATTTAAAAAGTTTTCCTATATTTTTTCCTAGAACTATTATGGTTTTGTTTTTATATTTGTCTTTAGTCCATCTGGAATTTACTTTTGTCCATATGAAGAAGGGGTCTAATTGTATATTTTTGCATGTTTATTATAAAAAATGTTTCCAGATCTGTTTATTAAGTAGTCATCAATTGCTTCCCTTCTGATTTGTAATACCTCTTTCCAAAATAAGCTTTCCTATGTGTCTGGGTCTGCTTCTATGTATTTATCATAACTTCACCAATTTCACATTTTCTTAATTATAATTAACTTGATAATAAATCATTATATCTCAAAGGGAAAATTTATTTACCTTCTACTTCAAATTCTTGTTGGCCCCTTTACATCAATTTTACCATTAATTTGTCAGCTTCCTTGAAAAACTAGGTTAGGGTTTTATTTTTTCCACATTAAATGTATAGACCTATTTGGGACAAAGTAGTGAAACAGCTTTCCCACTAAAGAACATGATATACCCTTCTATCCATGTAGACTCTTTTTTGTTATATCTTTCAATAAAAATGTTATGTTAGTTGTAATTTATGTGTCTTTTATTAAATTGATTCATAAGTATCCCATATTTGCTGCTGCTATTGTAAATGGAAGTTTTTTTAGAAATATATTTTCAGTTGTCTGCTGGTATTAAGAAAGCAACTGATTTTATGTTGATCTTCCACTCAGCAAAACTTGCTCAGCTCTTTTATTAATAGTCTGCCTTTAGAGTTTCTTAAGTTTTTCGCATATGGATAATCAACTCAGAATACTTGATGACGACTCTGCTCTGTTTCCTTCCAACCTTATTCCTTATGTGGCTTATTTTTGTCTTACTTACTGGCTGGACCTCCAACACTTTGAGGAATAGGATCAGGGTCCATGAGTATCCTTTTGTTATTCCCGTTTTCAAGATTATGTTTCTAAGGATTCACTATTTATGTATGTATATGTATCTATAGATTTTTGGTATTTACATTTTATCAGTCTAAGTTTCTGTTTCCTAGTTTGAACATGAATGAATGCTGAATTTTATTAAGTAAATTTTCTGCATCTGTTGACATGACTGTATTTCTCCTTTAAACTGTTAATGTAACATTTAATCAATCTTGAGATCTTGAAATAAACTCAACCTGGTTATGGTGTCTTTTTATGCATATGTTGCTGGGTTTGTTTGGCTAACATTTTATTTAGAGCTTTTGCATCTTTGTTCTTAAAGGACACTGGCCTGAACTTTCTCTTTCTTGAACTGTCCTTATCTCTTTTTGTTGTCATACTTACTAGACATATAAAAAATTAGCGCATTTCTGCACACTCTATTCTCAGAAACAGTTTGGATAAGATGGCAAGTATGAGTTCCTTGAATTTTTTATTAAACCTGCTTATAAAACCTGGGTGAAGCTCTATTAATTTCAAGTCAAACTTTAAATTATGTCATT